TTACTAATCACTCCCTACCGGAAAAGATTTGTTCCAATGAAAAGTATTCATCATTGCTTTCGGAAGACACTCATTCAGACACATGCTTTCTGAAAGAAATATACGAGTTTCATGTTGCCAAGAATGATGTCGCGTACGGTAAGTTTTCTTTTTCTTTTTCATCGACAATGTTTTTAAAAGACAACGTTTTTAAACTTTCAATTAACATCGGAATGCTGAGTTGTGCAGGACATTTGTTTGTTAAATTCACTGAAATGATATTGGCATTAATGATATATCGAGATATCGTTTCCATACACGTAAATTCATCAAGATTCCAAGTTTGCATGGAAGATGGATTTTCCTATCGATCTTGAATGATATATACTGGATTTAGAATTCTATTACATGTAAGATTTATGAGCCGGGTCTTGGATTCTTTTTTTCTATTTTCACAAGCATCTGGCGACTGTTACAAAGTAACGTGACGAAGTTAGTAACTCTCATATGACAAAAAAAAACCAAACATAATGTTCTTTTTACCACAAAATAAAAAAATAACATTGTTTAGACTGATACAAAACTTAATGATATGTTCACTACTTTGTTTACGCCACAATGCACAATACACATTATTGCGTCACAATAGAAAGTACGGAAACCTTCAGCGAATTACCTTTAAACCAGGACATCGAATACATTCGTGTTTCATGTATCACTACAAAAAAGTACCGTACTTCATAACACTGTGATAAAAAAGCCTCGAAGGTTGTAGGTTGATGAAAATGTTTACTGCCTCATTGGAACACATTGTATTCCTTTGTTCGATATGAAACTGGACCCGTTTGATGTTCGTATGCTGCGTTGTTGTATACATTATTCTCATGAAATAACATAACATGAATTACTTGTATTGACTGAGATTGAAGAGCCTAAGCATCACTAAGAAGGTTTTTGGCTTCACTGTCTTTAATTCTAAATTCTGCTGTCTTTTTTACCATCTTTGAAATTTGTACACACTACTGGAGGACATTTAATCCCTGATGTATGCCGTAAGCCAATTCATTCGAATAGTGGTATGGTTCAGAATGTAGGTGACATGTACTTTGACATCTATTTCGATCACTTCCGATTCGTTTAGTTTTGCTCTACAGTATCTAATTTGTACATAAGGGTGCTATTCACTATGTTGTCTTTTGTACAATGCTATTATTGTGGTCGTGGTAAATATTTAGATCGGTTGAGCGTCAGATTATTACGCCAGAGGTCCCGGGTTCGAATCCCAGCGGAGGCATTGGAATAAAAAGCCTCTGTTACATTGTTTTGTTGGAAACGTATGTACATACATATATATAAAAATCCTTTATCGGTTTACAATGTGCTTCTAATATTGTTATTATTTTATCCTGGCCACTATTTATTTTTCAATTGTATATAGTGTTATTTGTTAACTGGTTGTAACTACAATGCATATATGTCTATGACTAAAATACTACCATTTGCGTTTTTTAGAGTGCCACTCACTGCATAATCAGATTCTTCATAAAGGTTTGCATGATCTGGAAAAGAACTGGAATGACTCTGAATACATTCATTCAACAGACAACGCTGGATGGACACCATTACATCTGGCCATTGTTTTGGGAGAAAGCGAAATTGTCAAAATACTGCTTGACCACGGCGCAAATACATCATTGTATACAACGCTTTGTCTCCCCGCCTTTGTCTGTGCAAAGTCGAACAGGAATATTCGCATGCAGTTCTCACCCCTAGATCTAGCCGTACGCCTCAATATGAATGACATTGTACAGCTAATTACAGAAAGGAGCCCGGCTAATCCGTCCATGAAGGCTTTCATCAAGATGTCATACGGATTAGAATTAGAATCCACTTTGCTGCAATCAGTTTGTAAGGAAGCAGAAAGAAAATATAAGGATATCGGAGCACGATTTAAGCCAACATACACAGTGCGCAAAAATCAAGCGATTCTTCGTGTCTGCCTCGGATTTACGGATGATGTGTGTGACGTGAAAGAAGGAGACATACATGGTGTAAAAGTTATAATCATGAACCCGAATATTGCACCAGAAAGCGAATGGATAGAAGATGATAAGATGACAGAAAATGAAGAAATCGTTTGTAAGGCGATCGTTGATCGATGGGCCGATAATCTTTGGAATCAGCATCCGAATTTGAATGCAATCACTGCCGGAAGCATAGTTAGCGTAAAATGTCCCAAAGCAAACCCTGAAGCACATATCATGCTACACTGTTCACACAAAGGATACATTCCCTTGGCGAGCCAATGTTTTCCAACTGAACTGAAATGTGAGAAGGGAGCAATGCCAGTGGCAGTACTTGAAGGAGAGTTTATTTTCAGCCCGCGGTCATACAGCTTGAACGCCATTGATATCAGTCATCCACCTACCGGACGATGTCGCATGGAAACAACTGAGCACATTCCTTTGAAAGTTGGAATGAGTATATGTGGTTCTCATGGACAAGAAGGTTCTGTAGGAACTTTAGGAATATTTGTGGAAATTGGCAATGGAAAAACGGGGTTCATCACTTGTTCCCATCTGTTCCATGCAGAAAAAATCGAAAAGGGAGATACTCCTTTTAGCTATCAATCTTCACAAGAAAAGAAAGGTGATGACGTCATAGCTCCATTTGATCATTTTTACGAAAAACATATCAGGGGTGTAAAAAGGATGGAAATCGATGATGATCCGCCCGAAGACGTTGATGACAGCCCAGAAAACACGTATGTATTATTTGGTTACCTTTTGCAATCGCTCTTTGTCCGTGGTCTTACGGACACCAAGCGTCAAGTGTTTACTTCTTTCTTGTGAAATCAATAACTTGAGTAAATATGAAGTAATTTTGATACAACTTGCTATGCAACCTTATATCAAGAAGATCGATTGTAATATACATTTGAAACATTGCAGTATTATTACCATTGACCATGTGAACCCAACCCGAAAACTTGATAAAGGGCCGGTTTCCAAAACGGCCCCTTCTTTGATTCAAATTTCCTGTTGGTGGTGCATTGCCCATGCCGTTGCGGTCACAAATCTATACAGTATAAAGATTTAGGTCACTTGGTTTGTTTTTTATGGCTCCTCAAAGTTGTACCTTTCAGAAGCTAAGTGTTGATAAAATGTGCATGTTATGTAAAATATTAATGAAAATCTAATCAAAATTAGTCACCATAAAGAATACATTCATGGCATGATTGTGACAAAAAATCATGTTTCCATCGCGCCATTTGGCTGTTTTATGGAAGAAACAATTTCAAAAATTCCATTTTCGATGATAACATTTTAGACACAAAAACTGTGTTTTTTTAGAGAATACACCCTTTTATGGGCGTTGGATGCAAACCAATTTTTATCCAATTAAATAGTACGTAATATGCTATTGATGAGAGGAAAAATCATCAAAATGTAAGTGGTGGAACAAAATGTTGGGTTGAATTAGCCTATGGTTGAATTGCCGATTTTCGACTTTCTTTAGATAATTAACAAAAAAACGAGAGTATTTGCTCGGTATGTTGAGAATATGTACACAGATATGAAAAAAAGTGAGAGAAACACTTTTTCATAAAAAAAAAAATCCAAGATGGCTACTTCGCAAGTCCCCGTGGTTGAAGACATTGGCTGACAAATAGACAGAACAACAAACAAAACGTGTTCCTTATGATTTTGGTTGGTTTTCGCATTTACGGGAGTGTTCATAGCTACGGGCGATTGTATAATACCTATATTTATAAGTTTGGTTAGTCACATGGTAACGGGGATCTTTCATATCGAGCCCCAAACATACTTTCGACATATGCACTCTGTTGCCGCATGGAAAACTATTTCAAGTTTTGTCGGAATTTCTTTACCTGTGGTTGTAATGGTCGAGGGTTTTCCAGCGTCCTGTAATACCCAAGGTAGTACAGAATACTGGAGATAAGCGCACACATTCCCATCGTTCTCTCTCCAACTGGGCACTGGCAGTAGTAGTCCTTTATTGGGGCCTCAACATCGGGTGAAACTGTGAACCGTATCCAAACGTTATATTTCGTTTGGCTTTTGTGTCGAGAATGTATTTGACATCGGAGAAGGTCTGGGGAGTGCTGGTAAAGCCACACCTCATAGTCTCCGTCATCACTTACATGTTCGGCGATGTAACCAGGAGCCAGAGATATCTGATACGTTCGACACGTAATGGTTCTCAAGTAATCAAAATCGAGACGGGGAAACAGTACAGAAGATGCATCCATCTTGACAAACTCGGACCTTGCCCGTCTAGATAGATCTGGGTCTATCTTGACTCTCTGAGCTAAACCATTCGGTGTTGTCAAACGGTCCTTCATACGTTCAGCCATTAGCCTATCTTTGGCATCTCTCTCTGGAGATCTCTGGTAGATCGGTCCTTTAATACCATTCAGACAGGCTGTGACGGTTCGAAGCAAAGCCTCAATGACATTGATAAAGCTGTTAGACACCAATTGCGTTCGGAAGAACGTCCAGTGTTTCAGACGACCATGATAGGATTCCACAATCCACTTCGATTTGGTGATAGTTCTGTCGGGTTGAGGTTCAGGCTGATTTTTGTTCCGAAGATACTTCATGGAGCACTTCTGGCAAATAAATGCTTGTTCCTTTGTTGACATCAATCCTTGTTGCACCAGCGTATCTAGGAGCCATTTATATTGTGGACTATTTACATTGCGTGCACTTCTGTTCTTATTGCCACTACGTTTCTTGAAGTATACTTGACACTCTTCTCCAACACATTTACCCTCCATCTTGAAACAATAACGACTGGTTTATGAAGCGTCGATAAAGTAACAAAATAGCAAGCCACCGATGATTGCTGTAGACAGCTAATACTTAGTAGTTTGGTACAATTATGCGAAAATGTGTGATAAATAACGAACAACTAATTACACAAAATAACAAGACAATATAATAAATCACATTCAATACCTCCAAGAAGCGCAGAATTGATTGATTTCTTCGAACAAAATAAAGTATTTCATATGGATAATCTATCTATTCGATGTGGCGTTGTCGGCAGGCACAAAGAAAGTGAGACAAGTCAGGGTCTCAACCCGGACAGAGCCACAACGCTTTGGAGATGGGACAATAAAACAAGGAAATTGAGACAAGAATAGCTAGCGTCGAGTGAATGATTTCGTAAACGTATAGACAAAGACAAGAAGATACGGATAAATGTACAAGGCCACACGATCAGAAAATTCAGAAGAGGACAGCTTGAGATAGAACAGTATTCATGTATCAGGGTGTCCTCAGTGTAAATCTTTATATCGATACTATTTATTTAGTCGTTACACATCATAAAACTGTCATGAAAATATCCGCTCTGATATTCAATAAGAAAAAGTTTGTATATAATAAGCTATATAATAGGGTTACAGACAAGGTTGTTACTCATTTCCCCTTTTCTTTCAATTTACAACCACATTCAGGCGGCGATATGAGAACGTTCCACCACATGGAATTAGCTGACTAATATGAAACGAGTAAAGCTCTATCCGATTTTCTGATGGAAATTTGCATCCAAAACTATATAACGGGAGAAAATTGCAAATTTATGGCATTTTTCTTCATAATTGTGTCTCTGCAAGTGCATTTTCATCCGAGAATATGTTTTTTTTTATGTTTTATGAATAAACACGATGTTTAGGAAATATTTGTCAAAAGAAATTTATACTATGTTTCGAATTACAATTTCGAGATAACCTTCTTTTATTCACGAACTTATGTCTTTGATGTTGAAATTGATAACTTTATAAAAATACATTTTCACTGAAATTATGAAATCTGGGTGTCGGAAAGGTGTAAAATTATTTTTCGGAAAAGAAAAAAACAGTGGTTGAGCTAGATAAGAAATTATACGGGGCAGGCTCCTATGGAGAATTAACATTACTGGAAACAGGCCTTTTCAACATATCTGAAACAGTTCAGTGATTAAATGAGAATTGTATATATCGTTGTGGACAGGACCGTCTACTGGCAGTGTGGAAATGTAGAACGAGCCGTGTTTAACTCTGATTTAGAAACGGGAATTGATGCGGCACTTGTAGTGATTGACCCAAACCGAAATCCACGTGATGGTTCTTTTGATGACGTCAAGTATACCCATCTTAAAAATGCAGGTAAAGTGATTATAAAAAAAAAGCCCGAAAATGGAATCGTGTTCACATATTATAAACGCTAAATAGAATGTGTTGTTGCGTAATTCTAGATATAAATACATGTACTTGTCTAATATATTTACGATCTCTACCATTAAAAAGCAAATGACGTTTTCTTTGTTGCGAAGAAGAGAATTAAAGCATTTTACTCAGTTAACAGAATTGTGACATCGATTGTTCTTTGAAAACTACAGATGATCAAAGCTGACAACAGTTACGTCGTCGGATTTCACTTTCGCTTCCCTGGTAATATAAGAACAGTAGCATTTTTGAAAACCGATTGATGAAAAAAAAATTTCATGACGTATTTACAAGAGGAATAATTAAGAATATTTCTAAAATAATGTTTTGTTTACAATTGCTTTTAGTGTATGATATTGTATTGGCTTTGTCTTTGAATGTTTGATGTTCAATATTTATAGAAATGAATGTTAGAGATCATCCAACATTTGCATCAGGAAAACAGGCCGATGTGAAATACCTTGATAACGATTGTAAGTAAATCTTCCATATCATTGTTTCCTTAAGTAAACGTATATCGTACCAAACAAAAGTGTCCCAATAAACCATAAATATATTTATCAATGACGTTGAGCTATCTTCAAAAGGACCTGTTTCACGGTAGTTTTATCCACATCTCAATTAAATCATTAGTGTGTGTAACCTATAATAAATCATTGTATAGAGTCGAGTCATCTTTTTTGAAGTCTGCTGCAAGTTATGAGGTCAAATATAAAGCTGAGTATTACAAATATAAAAAGTTATGGAAGTAATATCTTATTGATGTTACGAGGGCAACCATACCAGAGGTTTTCTTTCATGCCAGGCAAAAAAAAGTACGCCTTCACAGGATGGTCAGATTCATGCTCGTCAAATTGAATCCTAACATTTTACTTCGGTTGAGACTTGTGACGAGAGATCATCATCGGGGGAATGATATATCAGATGCCTCAAGTTTTTTGCATTCACTTTTCACTCGGCGTGTCATGTTGTGGTCTTCACCAACTCGCTTTGCCAAAACGTGGCCTTTTTTGTCGGAGCGAAAGCATTCGCTGAGCCATTTTAGTATCTCGTTCCACTCTAAGTGGCCAAATGATCTCAATGAAGTAATCTGATAGTAGTTGATCCTTGAAAAGTACCTACTTCTTCAAACTTCCACGATAAGACTCTACAACCCATCGCTCAACAAGAAAATCTAAGACATCCCCTGAAACTGCAATCCACAATTATATTGTTGTTTACTTGCATTCGATATTTCAGGAAGTCGAATTTCTCCAAGATGAGTTAAGTTATGGATACATCATTCACACTGCCGTGATAAGGACCAGTTGTGTCTAAAAACAAATATCTTTACAGTTTGGTTTTGTAGAGGATAGTAAGCATGGTCATTTTATTCAATGAAAGATTAGTTTTTTGTTTCGCCCAAAAATACAAAAAAAAAGTCAATTGCAGTTGCACTGTCAATTGAAACTAAAATTAAATTGACCCAACGTTAGCCGGTTCTTACATGGCAGCCTTAATCTGATAATTTTTGAAATCTTAAATTCGGAGAACTCTCATATTTGGATACTTGATGTACGTTCTGGCAAATCATTGATTATAACCGAGGAAATGAATCCACTCGGTTTACTATGCAGAGGAACGAAAATGTTTATACTGATCTTTGGATCAGGATGTCATTGTCATTTGGATTATTCTCAGACTCCTGAACTGTTTCGCAAATAACCTTAGAATCATTATTACACAGAGTATCGTCCTTGGGGTCAGGTCGTGGTCTTTTTCTAACGTACCTCATGTAACACTTAACACATAGCTTACTCCGCTCTCTACAGCTAGTCCCTCTGTGTTAAGCATATCTTTCAACCAATCATTTCGAGGAGAATCTAGAATTCTTGCTGATTTCAAGTTCTTTATTTGATCTTTAAATCTCGTTTTGCAAACTTGGTATACCACATACAACATTCATTTTTACCAGAAGCAATATCACAAACATAAGTATTAGTTCCAAAACATTGAAACACAGGTAATGGTATTCTGTGTCTTAGGCAGATAAATCAAGGCTTAGATAACCAAGGTATTGTACTAAGTGTGAAATTATAGTGCAAAGTACCAATAGTAGACCACAGAATATAACCGCTCCCGTTTGCTAAAAATTACTCCGGTGTCATTCAATGATGAATTAATTCTAGGGTAATGTGTTGACTGAACAACAAGTCTTCATTAAATGACAGCATCAACTTCAACAGATGAATTACTTTTATAATGATTTGGCGGCATTGCTGACTAGTTTTGCTAATAAGCAACCAGGTACACAATGCAATAAGATATATAGCTGGAGACTAATGGGCACAGTTCACCAGTCCGTGACCTTCAGCTGCTTACCTCAACTTCAGCTTGAATGTTTTACGCAAGGAGGGATACGACCATCTTACTGATTCATTGATGATGCACAGAATACCGCTTTGATATACCTTTTATATCTTATAGAACAAGAGCAAGTACAGGCCATGTGAGCCTTTTCTGATTATAATCCAAAGAGGCAAAATGTGATCTATTATCATTTTTAATCAAAGACACATAGATAAAATGAATGAAATTGAAATAAACATATATTTGGATAAAAAATAACACACAGGTTGAAATGTCAGAAATAAGTGTAGTTTCTAATTCTGTCATCACAAGAAAATCTGTCCCTGAAACAATTTTACCGGTTCTAGAATTTGATAATTTTTTTGTGACTTAAAGAACATACATAAATGTGTTAATATTTTCGGTGAACAGCAACTGTAAGTTTTCCAACTTAAACTTCCATAATTGTTTTATATTTGTAACACGTAGTTCTATAATTGAGTTAAAAATATGAAGCAAACTTTAATGAAGAGGATAAGACCCAATTATTTAATTCATTAAAGGTTTTGAACACGTTTTGGGGAAAGATGTGCACCCTGGATCACATTTATGAAAGGGTCATAAAATTGGTCATAGTACGGGTGACTTTTGGATTTTTTAAACATACATTCTTCAACTCAATGAAAATATTTTTCAACCTTAAATTACTACAATTTCTCCTGCAAGTGTAGATATAGAACTGAAGAATGAAATAGAGAAACAGCTGACTAATTAGGTGCTTACCTTGTGTAAATTGGTTTATTATACTACGAGATGACATTGAATGTTGATATGAGGATATTATATGCTCTTTTCTCGAATTGATTCTACATTTGATTCAAGAAATTTTATGCCATGGGTGTACTTAAAGAAGTGGAGATATAAAGAGTCAGTTATTGCTTTCATTGATAGGTTCTCCTGAATCGCCTATCAGGTGTATGAAGCTTGGAGCTGGTTCTGGGCTGTCTGTTGGACTGCTGACATGGACATCTGGTCAGGCAAGAACCTCGGATTCTGATAAGCTTGGGATTAAGAAAGATTCCTCGCATAAATATACGTTTAAAGGCCAGTATGTTATTAGCGGACTTAAGGGAAAGCAATTTTTTGAAGAAGGAGATTCTGGATCGGCAGTTTTTGTCATGATAAAGAGAAACAAACATTATTATCCGGACGCTTGTCTTGGGATCGCTATTGGATTTGCTGAGACGAAGACGTTCGTTACTCCCATAGGTAATATTCTTGAGGCGCTGAAATTGGACGAAGGACCAGCACTAACACTTAAACAATTTGTTCAACATTGATTTTACGTGTCAAACAAAGTCAAACATGTCTAGACATTCTATGGGTCCTGTTATTATCGTTCATGTATGTAACCATCGGAATCTATATAATAATTAACACATATAATAATGCTCTTGAAGTGATTAATTTTTTGAAAGTTCAAAAGCTGATGGATGTGTTAATTTTGTAGATTTAGAATTAAAGACATTTGTATCTGTGTGAGGAAGAAGATAATATAATAATTGTAGAATTTCAAACACGATTTGTTAGCTAGTTATAGGTCGAATTAAGGATGGTAAGGTTAATGACCTTTCTTCATTGTTACCCACATCAGTGTCAACTCAGTGAGATTATTTAGTTCTTAACCTTCATGTCCAATCGAAAAAGTTTTGTCGATTGTAAACATTTTATTTGATAATGACTTCAGATAATAAAGGAAACATGTTTTATATTTTCATCAGCATGAAACATATGGTGGGTTTACTATTGAAGCCATGCCGGACTATACATTACAATTTTAGTTTGAATTGCTCTCTTCTTTATATTCCTAGTATTTAGTGTATGTTTCTTCATATTGAAATTAAATGTTTGTGTTTTATGTAACTGACTTTCGTGACTGCTTGTCCACTTAGATAGATCTAACTCAGCTCGATCAGTTTTATCTAAGGATAAACAGGAATGAGAAATGTGACATTATGATGAAAACAATAAAGATAAATGATCGCATCATAAGTCACAAGTAAGTAATATGTATCGTGATGCAAAATGACGGAACTAACAATTTTAAATATTGATATGTAATGTAACATGTAAAAACTTAACGTATGACTTTATTTTTGCCCACTGCCAGCACACAGTGAGCTGGTCAAATCGGATTCACCAGAAAGCGCAAAAGCATGGCATTTAGCTGATGTATTTTCAGTATGAACCCTTACAAAATTTGCAAAAAAAATATCTCGAGCCATATACTAGTTCACAGGAGTTAAAATTGTTAAAATCTTAAAACAACATCTTATTAAACAAGAGGCACATAAATATGGTATTTGGCCGGAAGGTTTCTGGAAGCGCGGCATATACTGTAAAAAGAAATGAGCTTGACCCATATTCTAGTTACAGGGATCGAGTTTGTTATAACCTTAAAAACGACTTCTTTTTAAGAACCATAAGGCCTAGAAACATGATAGGTTAATAAGTCTCCCGATTTAGGATTGACGAAATTTGCAAAAACAAGAATATGATCTTGAACCATATTGAACGTCGCAGGGGTCAAATTTGTTAAAACCTGTAAAAGATCTCTGGTAAATCAAAAGTCCGAGTAACAAAATATGTACTGGAAAGGTGTTTCTAGATCAAAGCCTGGCAAATTTTGAAAAAAGGAGGTAACATTTACCTATTATCTAGGTAATGTCTGCCACTGTAAGAAGCTAATATTGTTTTGAAAATTCGTTGTATAATACGTAATTATATGTTTATTATATCTATATATAGATGTATAATACGTATCTATAAGTTTATTATCTATATATAGATGTATAATACGTATCTATATGTTTATTATCTATATGTAGGTGTATAATATGTATCTATCTGTTTATTATCTATATATAGATGTATAATACGTATTGATCTGTTTATTATCTATATATAGATCTATAATACGTATCTATATGTTTATTTTCTATATATAGATGTATATATCTTTTTATTTTCTATATATAGATGTATAATACGTATTTATCTGTTTATTTTCTATATATAGATGTATAATACGTATTTATCTGTTTATTTTCTATATATAGATGTATATATCTTTTTATTTTCTATATATAGATGTATAATACGTATTTATATGTTTATTATCTATATATAGATGTATGATACATATTTATATTTGTATTCCCTACATGTAACTGTATAATACATGTTTATATATCTATTCTTCACATATATATGTATAATACATATGTCAAACGCCATTTAGACTACAATCCAAAGAGAATAATTTACCTTTATTTTTCAATCGCGTTTTCATCAAGTAGTATATTGAAACATATCAAAAACTTGTCCTTTTATAATCTAGCAGCAAATCATTAGATATTACTAGCGGGAAAATGTTCCGAACATGTTTGTCACTGATGACGATAACGAAGTAAAACACGATAATCATAGTTCATCATAAAAGCGGACACTGAAGCATATATGTATATATATATATATATACATTATTTCGATCATATGTCTGTGTATAGGTATGTGTACAGGTCTGTGAACAATAGCCATTGTATCAAATTTGTTAAAAAATATCCACGGTAATCTATTTGGGGTACCGAAACGGTTTATTCATGACTGTCAAAAAACTGAATGATTATAATTCTTAACTAAACAGTTAATCTTGTTGAGTTGTGTAATGATATGTTGTCAGTACAAGAAGGCTTAAAATTTCAAGTTTAGGAATGATTTAATGAATTTTAGATACTAAGATTTAAGACTTTAGGAATTGTATATAACTATATAAATATAATTTGTTGTAGTGCTGTGATTTACGTACCTGGATTTACCTGTGCTTCCAATAAATTGTGTAATTATCCCCTGATCTGTGGTTTTCTTTGTCATCACAGTCTTATCTACACAATTCCTGCGTGTCCCAAAAATTCAACCTGATAATTAGGGACATTAAAACATTAAAACCAGATAGTAATAACTACATGAACATAATAGGGACGGACACGCCGGTTAATTTAAACCATAATGAATGTGCAGCCAGTAACATTGGAGCAAAATTGACAGACTCATTGGGTACTACAAAATCAGCAGAGAATTACGCTGGAGTATTAGTGAATTGGACAGCTAAAATGTTGCTAAGACACTTACGACGGTCTTCACGTAGCTCGTTATCGGGGTTATCCAAAGGCTGGTGGGTATGATAACGTACATGCATTTCCTGTTGACGAATGTTACCACAAACTCGCTAAACCCGGACATACACACAAGGAAGAAGATTTAAGTGGATACAATACTACACTCAGATGTAAACAATACCATGTTGTGAACCAAGGTCAACGGAGAGGAAACTTATGATCCGTATGTATTTACACAGATAAATCCATGGTTATAATGTATTTACACAGATACATCCATGGTGATAATGTTTTTACACAGATACAACCATGGTTATAATGTATTTACACAGATACATCCATGGTGATAATGTTTTTTACACAGATACATCCATGGTTATAATGTATTTACACAGATACATCCATGGTCATTATGTATTTACACAGATACATCCATGGTGATAATGTATTTACACAGATATATCCATGGTCATTATGTATTTACACAGATACATCCATGGTTATAATGTATTTACACAGATACATCCATGGTAATAATGTATTTACACAGATACATCCATGGTTATAATGTATTTACACAGATACATCCATGGTTATAATGTATTTACACAGATACATCCATGGTCATTATGTATTTACACAGATACATCCATGGTCATTATGTATTTACACAGATACATCCATGGTGATGATGTATTTACACAGATACATCCATGGTGTTAATGTATTTACACAGATACATCCATGGTTATAATGTATTTACACAGATACATCCATGGTTATAATGTATTTACACAGATACATCCATGGTCATTATGTATTTACACAGATACATCCATGGTTATAATGTATTTACACAGATATATCCATGGTGATAATGTTTTTACACAGATACATCCATGGTGATAATGTATTTACACAGATACATCCATGGTTATAATGTATTTACACAGATACATCCATGGTTATAATGTATTTACACAGATACATCCATGGTTATAATGTATTTACACAGATACATCCATGGTCATTATGTATTTACACAGATACATCCATGGTCATTATGTATTTACACAGATACATCCATGATGATAATGTTTTTACACAGATACATCCATGGTTATAATGTATTTACACAGATACATCCATGGTGATAATGTTTTTTACACAGATACATCCATGGTTATAATGTATTTACACAGATACATCCATGGTCATTATGTATTTACACAGATACATCCATGGTGATAATGTATTTACACAGATACATCCATGGTTATAATGTATTTACACAGATACATCCATGGTAATAATGTATTTACACAGATACATCCATGGTTATAATGTATTTACACAGATACATCCATGGTTATAATGTATTTACACAGATACATCCATGGTCATTATGTATTTACACAGATACATCCATGGTCATTATGTATTTACACAGATACATCCATGGTGATGATGTATTTACACAGATACATCCATGGTGTTAATGTATTTACACAGATACATCCATGGTTATAATGTATTTACACAGATACATCCATGGTTATAATGTATTTACACAGATACATCCATGGTCATTATGTATTTACACAGATACATCCATGGTGATAATGTATTTACACAGATATATCCATGGTGATAATGTTTTTACACAGATACATCCATGGTGATAATGTATTTACACAGATACATCCATGGTTATAATGTATTTACACAGATACATCCATGGTTATAATGTATTTACACAGATACATCCATGGTTATAATGTATTTACACAGATACATCCATGGTCATTATGTATTTACACAGATACATCCATGGTCATTATGTATTTACACAGATACATCCATGGTGATGATGTATTTACACAGATACATCCATGGTGTTAATGTATTTACACAGATACATCCATGGTCATTATGTATTTACACAGATACATCCATGGTTATAATGTATTTACACAGATATATCCATGGTCATTATGTATTTACACAGATACATCCATGGTGATGATGTATTTACACAGATACATCCATGGTGTTAATGTATTTACACAGATACATCCATGGTTATAATGTATTTACACAGATACATCCATGGTCATTATGTATTTACACAGATACATCCATGGTGATGATGTATTTACACAGATACATCCATGGTCATTATGTATTTACACAGATACATCCATGGTTATAATGTATTTACACAGATATATCCATGGTCATTATGTATTTACACAGATACATCCATGGTGATGATGTTTT